TTTTTTTTTTTTTTTTTGAGTAAAATATCTCTTCTTTTCCTGTCCCTAAAAGATGATGCTTCAGTTCTTTACAGTTCCAGTCAGGTGACTTCGAACAGTAGCTCCTGATTGGCTGAGGGATAGAAGTCAGGTACACACGTATTTTCTAAACGATGCATTCCCCATTTCACATAATGTTGCGCACGCGGATTCATAAACGCCAACATTTCACAATTTTGATTTTTAAAAAATTAAATAAACTTCGCATTACTTTGTAATCGACAGTTCTAACTTCAGGATAAAAGTTTGCCCTGCTAATATAACTTCCAATGGAATTTTGTCGGGATGAAGAAAGATTCACTTTGCAGGCTTTCTCTGCTAGCAGTCACATTGCATATTTGTTGGTTCTCCTCTCTTCTGCCCCAATCCTCCCTGTTCGCAACCAGGAACGCCTGTAATGCCATTTCACTAGAAACCAGTATTACGTGACTCCACTCAAATGGCTTTCGAGTTCAAGCGCTGTGATTTGATTGGATAATACAAGATTGCCTGCTCTTTGATTATTCCAAGAGAAAAGCCATTTTTAGAGTCACACAACGTTCGTTTTCTATTAGTAGGTAGTGACTAAGTTACTAACGGGACTTTTTCAGTTGTCGGCAATTATAATCTAATATGCAAATCCTCTCCATCCATTAGCACCATAAAATCGTGCACGATCATCATTCGTTGACGTCGTATCTTCACCGTACAACGTCGACGGGCCTTCGGCATTCTGATCAGTGTCCGGAGAAAAAATCTCATCTCCGTAAACATAGCTGTCACGCCCGTTATATATTCCAAGAACAATATCTGTGGCAAGCGGTCTGGTATGCCCAACGCTGTTTGGGGGTGTGTATCCATTTAGTCTTTCGCGGCGCCTCTCACGGTAGCGCCGGAATCGCATGCATAACAGAACGATTCCAAGAACTAGTAGAAACAAAAGCGTTATTCCAAGAAGTGTTACAAATATGATGTTGAATACAAAGCGCCCGTGGTTGGAGCTTTTCTCGAATAGATCCATCAGTTTTTGATTAATATTTTTTATAGTTTTGACGAGATTGGACTTTTTCTTCTTTTTTCCCTTAGACTTTCGAATTCAGCAATTTTTGTGAATTCTTCACGGTTTAAAGATGGAAAACCTTAGCTCTTTAGCTGTAAGCAGTTAAAATTCCTGGTTCCATCTGTCTTAGGAAATATTTCTGTATGTACTTCAATTATCAGTATTAGCAGTATTGGAGTATCTATAAAAACAAAAAAGAAAAAAGAAAAGCATTTTTAAAGTCAAGATTGGAACTGTGAATCTTGATGCAAACGTAACAAGCGGTTTGACCTCAATCTCGTACCCAGAGCCTGCGTTTCTTCTGGCCTGCGGCGAAGGCGAGGGCTCTGACATAATCCACTTTTTTTTGAGACCAGGATTTTTTGGACTTCCGGTATAAGAGCGCTTACGTTAAAAGACTTGCCAAAAATAAAAAAATATGTTCCCGATTTCTAATTCTTATTTTGAACGGAAGTAAATACAGAAATCTGTTTGAAAGCAGGTTTGAAAGCATGATTTTCATTGATTATGTTTCACTTCCGGAAAACTGCGCATGCGCCAAAAATGGATTATGCCAGAGCCCTCGTTCTTTGCCGCAGGCCGAAAGAAACGCAGGCTCTGGGTACGTTGGTTTGACCTTTTAAAAACACGCATGCGCACTATGGAACACCTTTATTTTTATTTCAAATTAATTAAATTGAAAGTATATATTTGGTAAAGAGACTGGTTTTTGGCAGTATTCCTATTTCTATCACAATGAGGACACTCCAACCATGAACACTTCAATTTTTTTTCAGGTTATTTTTTTCCTGAAGTTTCCGTTTCAAATCCTTTAAAATAAAGTCGGGTGATTTACGCTATGAATTATGAAAAAATTTAAGTGACAAAAAACTTTTGCCCACAGTTGGAATACCCTCGTTGTCCAAGATTCAGTTCAGAATGTTTCCCGCTTCAGATCACATGTCTTGCCCTAGAGTATCAATTCCTGCCTTGCGGTGAATGACTAATTATCACCGCTTTCTTCTTTCCATGTGGGACGCGCTTAAAAAAAATAAAACTAAACAGGACATCCATCATAGTATTAAAGTTCATCTGCTATAAAAACATGATTTTTTCTACTTTTTGATCAATAAAACTACGACCATATTTTCAGAAATCGAGTGCTGAACCGTCGTATGACAGCGCGAAGCATTTACGGCTACGCCAGAGATTTCGACCCTGACACCGCTATACGGAGATTTACAGACTGATCAGGAAGCTCGGCCGAAGCCTAAGAGAGAGGTTAGCCCCTAGACCGTAGATGATTAACCCCTTGCTATTACCAGCAAACTCATTTTTTGGATCGTGACGCTGAATACTAACCGTCCACTCAGGCTAGCTAGTTTTTCAAAACGCATCCCAAATTGAAAGGCCGAAAAGTTATTTTTACACGCAAACGCGAAGAAGCTTGACCTTGATTTTAATCCCGCTATGCTTTCTCTACGAGGATTTGTTTAAACCATCAACAGGTTGTCGATCACCAGTATGACAACCTAGTCAAAACATCCCTCAAAACAACTCTAGCTACCATAACCTAAATATCCTTCTTAATTAACCTTTCCTCAATGTCAAAGTACGATCGAACATTCACAGATAAGGGGAAAATAAAGTTCATATATAGGTGAAGTCAGCATCCCTTTCGTGGAAATTGGGAAGCCAGACTAAAGTTGTGTTCGCCATGTTGGTTAACATACGTCGGGACCAACGGAAAACCAAGATGGCGGCTATATAACATGACATGCTACGTAACACTGAATAGAACCATTTTCTTCGCTTATTTTGACTTTATAAAACAAGAAAATAACTATCGTTATAGAAATGCTAACAGATTTTTAAAAATCTGTAATGTCTGAATAGACTCATATTCAATTGAAAAATTAATTGAAATTTTGATATCTAGTTTTCTAGGCTTTTCTTCTTTAGCCACACTCGACAATTTTTAGCGGCCTGTTTTTGTTTGCGGTGAGTTTGAAGTCAATACATTGGTAAGTCCTTATTGAAAAACAATTGAATAATTAATGCAATAGCATTCTTCTTAACTACCAAGTTTTCCTTGCCATTTTGAAGCGGAATAAAATATATTAAATACACGACTAAAAAGCCTGAGAATTCTAATTAACAGCTCGAGTAATTACTTTATACCAATGAAAATTGTCAAGATATTACTCCTTTTTGAATTGAAAAAAAAACCTGATTTGTTGAATGAGAAAAGTAGAAAACTTAGAAAACTTAATATTTTTACTTTATTCTATATTTTCAATATGGATATTCGAATCGTTTATATAATGAATTTTTTAAATTCATCTTTAAAAAAAATTATGTCATTTTTATTTTGGTGAGAAAAATAATTATCAACAAACTAGGTAGTTTGACGTTGTTCTTGAATTCGAATTCGACTAAAGAACGGTCAAAATCCGGTTAAAATTTAGTAGCTCAATATTTTCTTTGACAGCAAGTTACAGATTTATATAATCTCTTGAAAATAAAAAAAACCTCGATATTTTAGTGTCAATCACTTCGTTTCAAAATAACCACAACTTGTACATGAAAGACTACATGCAACACTAGATTTAAAAAGCCGAGCCAGCAAATGAAAGCATGCACTTTCCTCTCTCTTAAACTCGAGAAAGTTGCTGTTAAAATCAATACTAATAAAAAATTGTACATTTTCAATTTCCAATTAGATAAACTGAAAATATTACCTTAAAAATGATGAAATCCTTTGCTTTTATTCAAAACACATGTCGAAGCTTCTTGCTCGTTCTCACTTCTGTCACCAATTCACGCAGCGAGCGAGATTCCGTTTGTAGAATACATCAGAAAATGTACTGTGCTGTGGTTTAATTTCGTGGCCAACCACATACCTAATACGTACTTAAAAATCGCTATATTTCGCCTGACATTATATTTTCAAAACATTTACTTCAAAATGTCGAAGAAAATAAATCAAAACAAACCCTGATTGAAGAATAGCAAAAATTATGGCCTAGGAGAGATTATTTTTATCGCCGTAGAAAACGTTTTGAAGACAATTTGTCAAAATTACCAGAGAAAAAATAATTAGACTGCAAAATACAGTATTTACGTCTTGTGGTGTTAAAATTGTTTTTGTTTTGCCAAAAATATTCAGCAAAAGGCGAATAAAATTTTGGAATAAATTTACAGAATAATGACAAGACACCGACATACAAAATAGGGGGGAAGTGATTTATCTCCTTATTAATTCTAGTAACGCTAAAATTCTCTGAATTTATCAACAGAATTATTGTCGACAAGTAACGTGTATTTCAATCAGTTAGCTTAAGACTTAAATCTTGCAGTTTTTTCGCTAAATATATGCAGTAAAAAAATAAAAATGAGAAAATTTTTTATCGTGTTCATGCAAATGCTATTGTTACAAAATTTAGAGACACAAGACATTGATAATGATTTCTGTGTTTATGGGTTATGTAATAAGGTGGTGGTTCCATAAAATTTCCCGGATGTCTTTCGCCATTTCTATTGGTCGTTTAGTCTTTTTCAGTATTTGAAATGACAGCCGCCATGTTGGACTGCGCTAAAAACTCGTAACTTTTGAATTTGTTGAGGGACTGTTAGAAATTAGCAGGGAGAGTTGGGGTGGAAAACGGGGGAGGGATTAATTGATGATTTACATATAGCTCTTTTTTCTATATGAATACTCAAAAGTGCTTACAATCCGTGAGAGGTGGTTAGTATGACAAGTGGGCACTAAGGATGATCACTGCCAAGGGTTTTATGAATACGTCCTAAGGGGTTCTTTTACGTCCCTCCGATATTGCAAATTAAGGAACGAGTTGCTGCAAGTTAGACTGACGAGTTGTTGCAAATAAGAAACGAGTTGCTGCATGTTAGACGAGTTGCTGCAAGTTAGACGAGCTGCTACAAATAAGAAACGAGTTCCTGAACGTTAGGCAAGTTGCTGCAAATAAGAAACGAGTTGCTTCATGTTTGACGAGTTGCTGCAAATAAGAAACGAGTTGCTTCA